TTGCGCCCGGGTTTGACTTCTCCAGCATGCACGTGGAGAAGGTCGTTCGCTTTGGGAAACTGGTCAAGGAGGATGATGTCGAGGACAGCTCCAGCGAGAATGCCTCTGTGTAGGCCATTTTTTGTAATAGTAGTTTAGTTTTCTTGTTTTCTCTTTACTTTCCTTTGAATTCATGTATTGAACTTGGTAAGCATAGCTCTGTATATACGTATTTTGCTTTGTTTATTTGCGCTTGGTTTTTACTATTTTGCGCGTTTTGAGACACGTTTGGTGTCTGTTGTGTGTTTTTATGGGTCCGAGGTGGTCATGCCGCTAATTATAACTAATATTTAGCGATAGAATTTAATCCTGTCGCTAAAAAAATCAAAATTTCTGATTTAGAGACCGAATTCAATTCCGTCACTAATTTTAACTAATATTTAGTGACCAAATTTAATTGCGTCGCTAAAAAAATCAAAATTTCTAATTTAGCGACCTTTCGCTAAAAAATCAAAATTTTCTAATTTAGCGACCGAATTCAATTCGGTCGCTAATTTTAACTAATACTTAGCGACCGAATTCAATTATGTCGCTAAATTTAACTATTATTTAGCGACCGAATTCAATTCCATCGCTAATTTTAACTATTATTTAGCGACCGAATTAAATTATGTCGCTAAAAAAATCAAAATTCATAATTTAGCGACCGAATTTAATTCTGTCGCTAAATTTAACTACTATTTGGCGACCGAATTCAATTCCATCGCTAATTTTAACTATTATTTAGCGACCGAATTAAATTTCATCGCTAAAAAAAATCAAAATTTATAATTTAGAAACCGAATTAGCGATCGAATTTAATTTCGTTGCTAAATTTAACTACTATTTAGCGACCGAATTCAATTCCGTCGCTAATTTTAACTTTTATTTAGCGACCAAATTAAATTCCGTCGCTAAAAAATCAAAATTTATAATTTAGCAACCGAATTCAATTTTGTCACTATATTTAACTACTATTTAGCGACTGAATTCAATTCCGTCGCTAGTTTTAACTAATATTTAGCGACCGAATTAAATTCCGTCGCTAAAAAAATCAAAATTTATAATTTAGCGACCGAAATAGCGACCGAATTTAATTCCGTCGCTAAAAAATAAAGAAATTTTATTTAGCGACCGAAATAGTGACCGATTTTCTAGCGACGACTTATTTTGGTTGCTAAATCAGTCACTATTTTGATTTTTCATAATCGATCGCTAAATCAGTCGCTAAATAGCGACTGATAAATTTCGGTCGCTATTTTGCAATTTTCTAGTAGTGGGAGCAGTCAACAACTAAATTTTAGATAACCCACATATTTCCACCAAGAGTAAGGAAGTCAATACTCTCAATAGTCTCGCACCTTCAATAGTCAATCTTATAGTTGAAGAGTCTTATGGAAAGTTTTGTCATCACAAGTCAAAGTAGACAAATGAGTCTTTGAGCAACTCCATTCAAAACTTGGGAACTAAAGTGGAGCAATTAACAAATAACATGGAAAGATGTTGGAAACTCAAATTATCCAACTCACTTCCACCTCAAGCAAAGCTCTAAGTAAATTCCCTACTAAAACTACAAAAAATCCGTTTGAACACTGTTTCTCTCTAATCCCTTGCTAATTAGCGAGAAATTAGCTTGAAATTATACCCCTCACTAATCCACGAAATTCTTGTAGTGGATGTAAGTTGATTGTTAATGATTTAAGGTGTTTTGATGATAACGATGTTTAATGACTTAATGTTTGATATTGATAATGGTACTAGACTAATTAAACTGATGATTTAAATAATGGCATTGATCTCTTAGTGACTGTGGTCAAGGTATTAACATATGATTAGACGATTTCATAATGATTCTATTTTAAGGTGTATCAGATGATATTGTGTAATCATTGTACTATACTTAATGTTGACAACTGATTGTAGTGTGTGAGTATGCTACTAATATGCTATATTGTGAGCTTTGTACGAATTGATTGATGTGCTTTGACATTGACACAATTGATATGTATGAATCTTGTGAGGGTCATATGATGAGAAGTCTAAGTAAGGCTTAATCATGATATGTTAATATAAGACATGTGATGTGTGAATTAACAAGATCATGTAAAATATTATGCATAGAGTCTATTTGACATGCATCAAATGTATAAAAGTGTTTTTAATTAGTATGTCATGAAAGAGTGGAATGTATTATTATTACCAATCTCTCCATGTTGTGTATATATGTATGCCTTGTTTATATTTGGCTATCTAGTGACATTCTTATACCGTGAGTCATGGTGAGATGTTTCTCACTCTCTTATTTTGTTTGTTGTTCTTATATTTTCTATAGGTGATCATCAACATGGTGTTGAAAATGTTGGTAATGAGGCTTAGGCTTCATGTTGGATTACTCTAATAGAACTTGTAACATTAGTGTATAGTTAGGGCTAACTTATAAGTTTGCTCCATGTTATTAAATTTGAGAGCTTTGGTTCTAATTTTTTTATAATTTTGTTATTTCCATTAAGTCTAGTTATGCTAACAATCTACTTGTATAAATTTTAAGTTCACTTATTTTATATGAGGTATTTCATATTCATATTATTTATGTGTTATGACATGTGAGATTGAGAGTGTCACAATAAGAGGACACTCCCATGACTATTGGGTATCCACTTAGTGGTTAACACATTATAAAATACTCAAATCTCATTTAATATTGATTATGTGATGTATGTGTAAGAAAATTTCTTTTTATTTTTGAGAAAAAGGTTAATGAATTTGAGGATATAAATATCGGAGGCAAAAAATTTATAAGCTTAATTGTTTTTTTTTGAAACAGCAAAATAAAGTTTTAATTATATGGCTTTAAGGGTGCCAAAACCCTATGTATAAGATACTTGGTGAGAAGTAATATAGCCCAGATGACTACACTACTGATAACCAAGAAGAGAAGAGTAAAGATTATTTAAGCCCACAAGTGTTGTGCGACGCACAACCCATTACAAAACAAAAGACTAATTGCATTTGTGGCCATTTGACTACGTTAATTTAAGCCCTTCTCCCTTGTCCCCTGTGGAATCTCCCTCGGCATCCAGCACATTGTGTTTCCTGTTGTTGCTTGTCTTACCCCTAGGATCACATCCTTTGTCACCCAAATGAAGTTAGGCACGTGCCAGGGTCGGCCTCCCATTGTGCATAGCTGAAGGTGAAAGCCTTGTCCATTTTTAGCCAAAACCATGTTGTATATTTGATTTTCTGTTGAAGATGCTCAATGTCCAATCTTTCTTGTCTAAAAATGATGTTATTTCTGACCAACCAAATGTTATATACGACTGCACACCACAAAATTTTCCAGCCTTTTGCTGCTTTTCCAAAAGAGATCGAGCACGGCAGCTGCATGAAATGTTGTTCGGTATTTAAAGGTAGTACAGTAGATAAATTTGCCCACTCATAACATGCTTTCCAGAGTGTGTCGATTGTGTTGCATACAAAGAACAAGTGGTGGCTTGTTTCTTGAGTCCCCTTGCAGAACCTGCATAGTTGATCCTCAAAAGAAACCCCAATATTTCTTTTTATGAGATTATCAACAGTTGGCATTCCGTTTTGATGTAGTCTCCAGATTAGAGTTGCTGCCTTAGGCGGGATTTTCAGCTTCCATAGCTGCTTGAGAACTGGTATCTCATCTCTTCCGTATTTCCATGGTAGTTTTTCCTTGTAAGCTGAATTGACAGTGTATTTCTCATCCTGTCCCGGATCCCACACCTAGGAGTCTTGATGCATATTATCGAGTGAAACTTCTCGAAGCAATGATTCCAGTTCTTGTAGTTGAGTATCATCCCTTCGTAGCCATCTTCTTCTCCACTTGAGACCCCAGATCCATAGTGCTCCGCTCCATGTCCCCATATTTTTAATTGTCCAGTGGTTCTGTAGCGAGTTCACATACAACCTTGGGAATTTATCTGCTAGGGATATGTTACCTAGCCACTTGTCCTCCCAAAACTTGATCCTTTCCCCATCCATCAGCTTCCAAGTCATCATATTGTCAAACCATTGTTGCTCATTGTTTGACCCACATACCCGCCTTAGATCTTTCCACCAATATGAATGACTCTTTTTATCCTCACCTTCCACTAAGTTCCTCTAACCTCCATATTTCGATTCTAATAATTTTCCCCATAGGCTATTGGAGTCATGGAAAAGATTCCATCTCCACTTCCCTAGTAATGATTCATTGAACAGGATAATGTCTTTGATGCCTATAGCCCCCCTTGATTTTTGCTTTGGCATACCCTATCCCAACTTATCCATGCCACCTTCTTGTGATCCCTCATGTGTCCCCACAAGAAGTTCCGTTGTAACCTCACTAGCTGAAGATGGACTTTCTTAGGGATTCTGAAGAAAGACAAGTAGAATAAGAGGAGTGAAGAGAGGACAGAGTTAATCAGACAAGCTCTTCCAGCCAGCGATAGGAACTTATTTTTTCAATGTGCAAGCTTTTTTTTTTGAATTTTTGGATAACTGGGTTCCATGTTGCTAACTTTCTCGAGTTAATTGTGTGTTATTATCCTCTAATGGTACAATTTTGATCCTCATGAAAAGTTTAATTAAACAATTTTAGTCTCTTAAGTAGTGTAGTTTTATAATTTTTTGTGCCCAAATTCTAGTTGAACAATTTTAATCATCCAAATATTACAATTGTACGATTTTAGTTTCTCTCATTTAAACTATAATAATTATTAATGTATCAAAAATATTATAATACTAATAATTTATATAAATTATATTTATTTTAATAATAATAAATACATATCATTTGATACATGAATAAAAATTATAATATATATGTAACTTAATTAAGTCAACAATTATATAATTTTAAATTATTATATCAAATAATTTAAAATTTTTAATAAAAAATTAAAATTATATAATTATAATACTTTAAAAAAATTAAAATTACTCAATTAAAATTTAAAAAACTGAAAAAAAATGTAACAATTAGAATGCATTTAAGGCTCATTTATATATGTTACCTATCCCTGCTGGGCCAACCACAACCATCACTGGACGCTGCCTTTCTGTCAGCCAACCTATAAGCTCTCGCTTGTCGGTTTCAATACCAACAAGTTGAGATTCCTCCACAAAATGAGCCTCCAACCTGAAGAGTAATACATTAAGTTAATTATCCTCTAAATGAAAACCACTACTTAATTTACTTCCTAATATTATAAATTTTTTTACTTTTTAAATTATTTAATCACGCTGATTTTAACAATCAGATAATACCAAATTAATTCAAATATTTCACTCACACTTCACTTTTTTCTCTATATTTTTCAATATTACATACTTGTTACATCTATCACTTATTCTATTTTTTTACTTTTCCCCCTCCTTCTAGGTGTATATTATAATATTGAGTGTCCGAGAAATATTTATTAAATGAAAGTTATTTTAATTCCTAAAATTATGAAAACAAAACTAAAATGGCTAATATTTTTAGGACTGTTCACCCGTGGATTAGTTCGGACTTGAGGAAAATGGAATCCAAATAGATTTATTTTAATTTGTTTGCTTTGTTTTTAAATTTCTTTTGGGTTTATTTTGAACCAAACCAACGGGTGTTAAAGGAGTTAGTTAGGTTTGGTTTATCAAATATCCAATGAAAAAAATTATTTTGAAAAAATTAAAAATAAACATTATTTTCATCAAAATTAATAGATAATGTTATCATAAAAAAATTATAAATAATCATATTTGAGTGAATTGACTTACATTAATTGAATGAGAACACAAATTATAAAGAATAACACATGAATATTGATTAAATCATATTATTCCATCTATAACAATAGAATGAAAATTAATCAAAAAGTCTAACACAAAACAAAGTGTTAAAAATATATCAAATTGTCTACTAGAAGTCAAATATGCAAATATACACCTAATAAAGTCATATATTTAATATGTTAGCTAATAAAAATAATATATAAATAATTAATTTAATTCGAATTAATTCAACTTTCAACAAAATATCAAATCCTAAACTCTAAACCCTAAATCTAATACATGAACCAATCAATATTAAATATTTTAGTTGATCCAGTTCAAGTATAATCCAATCTAAGAAAAAAAAAATCTAAAGCAATTTAATTGTTTCAGTTCATAATATCAAATTCATCAAATTAATCCAAATCAATAAACAATTCTAAACCTAACAATTGTTAAAATATACCCTAATATAACGTCTTAAATTTTTTTTAATTTAAATATAATTAAACCCTAAAAGCAAACTTAAAAGTGAGTTCTCTCCACTTATGTATATACTACTTTTATCATATATCAAGAAAGTATCTTCACATAAAAAATAATTTGGTTTAGAGCAAACACCTTGGAGTTGCAACACTCTCTCCGGTGGATGTATCGACCAGGCCCAAGTATGCTTTTTGTTTGTAGAGATTTTCAAGAGCTGTTTTTATGCGGTTGATCTCAGATGCAATTTCATGGCGAGGTTTTAAAGTTTTGCGCTTTTCATTCATCTTAGTAACCACACGAAAGACCCCTTCCCTTTGACGTCGCTCAGCCACTTTGAGCAAATAGTGATCAACCACATCCTCCATGTCAAACGCCACCTCCCTCAGTTCCTTCAGCCAACTTTTGACACTCTCACGATTCACATTCTCCCCTTCATGTTTTATGAAAGGTTTGATTACTTTTAGCTGACTGATGATAGCCTTAACCTCTTGATCCACACCACTCAAGGTTGATGCTTCCTCGTGCAGTAACTTGAGCAAATGCTCAACCAGAAGAGTCACTGCAACTTCAGCCATTCTTCCCCTACTTATTTTCCTATATATGAACTTAACCCTAAACTTAAGACACACACACCCACATATATGTACAAACGAGGAGTCGCACGTTATTGTTAGCCCCTTTGTACACGCTGTTGATGGTTCAGTAGCAACAACCGAGGGCAAAAAGGAAATAGAAAGATAGAACAGACAATTCAAACTTGGACATTTTCAAAAAGGAAAATGACAAGAAAATGTGTTCTTATTCCTAGAGACGGGGGAAGAGAAGGAAAAAAGATTTTATAATTACTTTTTGTTTGATTCAATTTTTAAGATGGAATAGGATTGAAATTTAAGCGATATATTGAATTAGGGTTTTAAAAGAGTATTTTAGTATGAAATTTTTTTTGTAGATTTTAGTGAATTTTAAAAGAGTTTACAAATATTATAACTTTTAAGATATTTTAAAAAAATTTAAAATATAAATTTTAATCAAGATTTTATAATTGATATTTTAATAAATTTAGATTATAAAATTTTAACAAATTTTATGAATTTAAAAAAAAAATACATGAAAAGTCATCATAATAGTATATTATTGTGAAGAAAATTATACATACTATATATATTAATACAAATTTAGCTTCGGGGACAATGGAAGAGAAGAATTTTTTTATATATATAATTTTTATTTGATTCAATATATGGGAAATGATTTTAGTTTGAATAAAATAAAATTGTCTCCTGTATGAAATATATATACGTGATTTTAGATTAAGAAACACAGTTAAATCTTCTAGAAATAAGAAAAAATAAATTGCAATTTGGAATAGTGGGGTCCAATGTTTAAGACCGTGTTAAACTTAATTTGTCCAAAAAATAGCTTTCGCCTCCATCAGGAAAATAATAAAAAAAAATGCAACTACTTATATATATTGCAGCTTGCATGAATGGACTGCTCTGCCACTTGTGTCGAATATTCCATAGAAAAAGGCACCGTGTTTTTTTTTCTTGGTCAACACAAATGTTTTGTTTGGTTTATAAAAAAAATAGATGGACATGGAATCTATAATCAATTTGAAAGAAAATAATTCGATTGATTTGAACTACCGAATTAGTTCTGGTTCGTATTAGAATCAATGTTTTAAAAATTGGATTATACTGGTTGGTCGGACTGGTTGAATCAGAAATTAGTAATCTAGTTGGTCTAAATTTGAAGTTAGATCGGTTATACATTCGACTCTTTTTAAATTGGACTGAACTGATCAATTTTTCAGTTCAATCAATAAACCGGTAGGTCAAACCGGTTCAACCTCAATTTTTTTTAAGGGATCACAAACTACAAAAATAACAATGAGAATTGAATCTGTTAATAAGAATAACTACTTGTTCTAATGTATTTGTTTGTAATATATGCAACTTAAATAAATTTTATAATATATTATTAATTTTAAGTTATATATTTAATAATATAATATCTATGTAGATATTACATATATTATTTTGTGATATATATCAATTGCAAACATATTATATATGTATATATGATTTATATTTTTAATTTTTATTAATATACAGTTTAACATATAATTTTTTTAATATATTTCTTTATACAAAATAAAAATAAAGATAATTTTAAATAAGATGGAAATTAAAATTTAAAATAGGATATTAATTTATTGAAATTTATAAGTATAAAATATATTTAACATGAATGCTTTTTTTTTAAAAAAAATTAATAAAAATCAGGTCATGCGGTTCAATTAGTGACTCACTAATTCAACTTTTGACCCATTAATCCAGTATCCTAACCGATTTGATGATCGATCCAGTTTTTAAAACTATGATTAGAACACTGAAAGGTGAATCAATTTGGTATGGATATTATAATTTGATTTTCCTAAGTGAATCTATTTTTGGTGGAAACTAATTTCGATAATTAAATATAAATAATTTTATTTAATAGAGTTTAAAATCTTTTAAAACTGTGTGAATTTTTGTTATTTTTTTTTTTTGATTTTCAATTTGAGAGTATGAGAAAAGTTAAAATCACAACTCATGTGATTAAGGCTTTAATTAACATGTAAATAGTAAAATTGAAGATTTTGAATTTTGAGAAGAAAAATATAGTAAGAGTATAGAGAAAAAATTGAGAAAAAAAAATAGATTGTACAAATGTAAATGAATTAAGATTTTGGAGATAAAATTGAGATTAAAAAGTAAAAAAAAAAAAATTCAGTTTGGAGTAAAACTAAAAAAAAAAAAAAAAGATGCAGACAAATATAAATTATTATAATTGAAATGGTGGTTGAGAAAAATGTAACGACTTGTTGATTCATGAGCACGTTGCTTGGGACTTAGGATATTGAAGGTATTTATAAATTTTAATCTTTATTACATGATGTAAATTAGTATTTATAGAGTACAAATCATAATTACCTAGAGATTCTAATAATTACTCCCTCAATCTTTACTCTTGAAGTGTTGATAGCTTTTGTCTTTATCTTCACTATTGATGACTTTTGTCATCTCGATTCTTTTTAGTGTTTGAATTTTTCATTATGACCATTTCATAGTTGAATTGATCAAAATATAATATTCTAACACTTAATCAAAACAATATAATAAAATATCATTAAATACTCTTAAAAAATTATCAAAAAATGACAAGATTAATAAAACCAAATTGATTTATCTGATTAAGTAAATCTTAGCATTTATTTACTTTTATTAGTAGGTTTGGTGTCAACATTGAAGTTTAGTCATTTGGTGAAATTAAGATCAAGGCCAAGATGTGGAAGAATGCTTCATGTCTTCCATAATAAGAAATCCAATTTCTACCGTAAAGCATTATATATATTCAATTTGAGTTAAGTTTAGTTAACTAAGAATTCAAAGGGTCTTATTAACTTGAAAACTTTTTACACACAAATATTCTCTATGTTATTCTTGATTTACAGACATAACAATTTGTTACAATATTATTTAACTATAGCCTTTTTAGGCTTACATAGGTAGGTAGTGTTTGAGTTTCTATATGACTTTTACAAAGAGGATATGTAAGTTAAGTATCTCAATGAACCTAGGATTAACAGACTCAACTATTCTTGTACTACAATAAGGACAATAGAATTTCTAACCTTTGGACTTTTGAGGATATCTAATTAAGAAACCACTAATGGTTCGTGTATCAAGTTTCTTTTCATGTGGATTTTACACCTTTATTTTTGTTAGAAAACCCCAAACATGGAGATACCTTAAACTAGGTTTCCTTCTTGTCTATGGGTCATAAGGGGCCTTTGGAACTACCTTACTAGGAATTCTATTAAGCAAATATGCAATGGTCTTTAATGTCTGCATCCACAAAGATAAAGATATAGTACTATAATTTAGCATAGATCTAACCATGCATGACCATCAGAGTACGATTCCACCTTTTAACCACACCATTTTATTGCGATGTGCTAGACATAGTATATTGTACACATATGCCCATACTTTCAAGAGACTTAGCAAATGGACCTGGACATTATCCACTTTCATTAAATTTTATACAAAAATTGACCACTTTTATTAGACTTTACAACTTTCACTTTTCTATCTAATTGTCTTTCTACCTCATCAATGAATACCTTTAAGACATTCACTGATTGAGACTTTTCATGCAGTAGATATAAGTAACAATAACGTGAAAAGTCATCAATAAAGGTGATAAAATATTTTTCATCGCCCTAAGATGAAACGATAAAAGGTCCACAAATATCAATGTGTATTAATTCTAGAAGTTCATTATTTCTTATAATAGAATTCTTTGGATATTTGTTTAGTTTGTTTTCCTTTAGTACAATCTAAACATATATCTTAGTCACTAAAATCCAACTGAGGCAAAATCTCATTTTTCACTAATCTTACTATCCTTTCTTTAGAAATGTTACCTAATCTTTGATGTCACAGATAAGTAGAACTATCATCATGTATATTACGCTTGCTACTAACAACACAATCAACATTAAACAAGGGTTCTTTAAACTATGCATCAAGAATGAAATAATACAAACCATATATTAAAGTACCAGATCCATAATAGTACATATCTTGAATCATAGAAAATACATTGTTTTCAATCTTGAAACTAAAACTTTATTGATCCAACTTTGCAATAGAAACTAAATTCCTAGCACATCTAGGTACATAGATACATCTTTCCAAATCTACATGACACCCCATGTTATAGATTAATTTGTGCGTCTCAATGCCCTTTATTCTTGCCTTCATTCTATTTCCAATATAGAGAAACTTTTTAGTTCCTCTTATGGTTTGGATTAAAAGGAATCCCTACATAATATGTGATACATGAGTACTTGCTCAAGAATCAAGCCACCAGGCATTATTATGTATCTCAACAAAATCTTATTCAAAATTTACAAATATATGAAATATATCTTTCTTTTCAAACCATTTCTTTCTTTTCAAGCAGTCTTTTTTGAAGTGGCCATTTTGTTTACAAAAGTAACACTATTTTCCTTACTAGCTCCTCCATCTTTAACCTTTAATTGGAATTTTCCCTTGTTCTTCTTACCCAACTTGCTTTGGTAGTACTAGCTTTATCATGAGTCATAAGATGAATTGAGTTTTCCTTCATTTTCTTTAATCCCCCTTCCTCCTAAATTAACATGGCCTTAATTTCTTGAAAATTCCATTTTTCCTTAAGTGTGTTATAGTTCACTTGAAATTAGCCAAATTCAACTGGAAGAGAGTTCAAAATGAATTGTACCAAAAAGGACTCACTCACTTCCATTCCCATGACATTTAACTTTGTAGCCAAATTAGCCATTTTCATCAATCTCAACATCTTGACTGATAGTGAGCTTCTCTCTATTTATAGGTTGTAGATTCTATAGCCTTTTGACCGCGTGTTATACCCCAAGAAAATTCTTCATATAGTTGACTTATCTTCTAATGTGAGCCTTTTTTTATCACAACCATGTATGTAGTAGATAGATCCAAATATTCATAGGTGTTTAGCCAATGAATTTCTCCTACTCCAATCTTCAATTAATAAGAGTCTTATCTTGGGCTGTCT